CTTTACAATATGTGAATGTATGTTGCTGTGATTGGTTTTATAAAGAAGCTGATTGGCCAATAGCTGACCAGGATAAAGTTAGGCAGGAGGACCAAACTGAGAATGATGGGAAGAAGGACAGAGAGAGGAGTTGCCAGCCAGATGCAGAATGAGTTGGACACACAAAATGGGATAAAGATAAAAGTTATGTGGCAGAATATAGATTAATAGAAATGGGTTAATTTAAGTTGTAAGAGCTAGTTAGTAATAAGCTCGAGCTATCAGCTGAACATTTATAATTAATATTAAGCCTCTGCATCAGTCATTTGGAAACTGGTGGGTGGGACAGAAACTTCCTCCTACATTTAACTACTATTTATTTATATATTAGTCATTTATTATTGTTACTATTATTTTTAGATTATAATGTATTTATATCACTTTCCATACCCTTTATTTCTTCAAACCCTCCTATGAACTCCTTGCACTCTCTCAAATTTGTTCTCTTTTTCTTTTTTTTTTAAAAAGATTTATTTATCATGTATACAATATTCTGCTTGCATGTACACTTTCATGCCAGGAAGGGCCCCAGATTTTATTATAGATGGTTGTGAGCCACCATGTGGTTGTGGGAATTGAACTCAGGACCTCTGGAAGAGCAGCCAGTGCTCTTAACCTCTGAGCCATCTCTCCAGTGCCAGTCTCTTATTCTTTAATTATTGTTATATACATATATAGATAGATTCCTAAATTTATAAGTGCAACCTACTAGGTCTATATAATGCTATTTGTATATATGATTTCAGGGCTGACCACTAGGATTGGATAACTAATCTGTGTGCTCTTCCCTAGGGAAGTCCATTTCTCCCACGCAGCATCCCCCAGCTGTCTTTGTGTGGGCTTTAGGGCTTGTGAGCTTCCCCCTTACACTAACGTCATCTGTGTTTAGTTCATGTTTCGGCAACCTTGTAGGTGAGATTTTGTGGGTATAGTTTCTCTGACTATATTTTTAATAAAAAATTTTGTGTGTGGTCTGCATGTAAGTCTGTGCACCATGTGCATGAGGTACCAGCAAAGGCCAGAAGAAGGCACTGGACCTTGGTCTGACTGGACTTACAGAGGTTTGTGAGCTGCCATATCAGTGCTAGGATTGAACCTGGGTCCTTTGGGAGAGCTGTCAGTACTTTTAATTACTGAATTATCTCTCTAGCCCTTAACTGTTATTCATTAACTTATTTAAGATAAATATTGAAGCTAGAAATAATAAATGGTACTTTTTTAACCTCTATTTTTTATTTTGTGTGTATGGTGTTCTGTCTCCATGTATGCCTGTGCACTATGTGCATGCAGTGCCTGTAGATGCCAGAAGAGGGCGTCAGACCCCCTTTATTGGAGTTACAGACACTTATGAGCCCTTGTGTGGGTGCTGGGAATCAAACCCAGGTCCTCTGGAAGAGCAACCAGTACTCTTAACCACTGAGCCATCCTTTTAGCCTCCAGGAATGGTATTAGTAAGGAAAATCAGATATGATTCTATATATGAACCTTTTGAATTAGAACTTGTTAGTGTTTTTGATATTGTACTCATTCATTCACTCATCAAATCTTTCTTGGGCACATACTATATGCTCACTGTTAATCTAGTAGTTTTCTATAGTCTCAATTAGGGGAAGTGTCTAAGGAGGCGAATTACATTAAATGGTGATATAGGACATACCAGCTCAGGATGAGGCAGTGTGACGGAAGATTTTGTGTTCTCAAATCTCTTCTCAGGGGTAAATTTTCATCAAGAATATTCTCTAGCTTTACTTGGAATGTACAAATAGCTCTTGTAATAGTATCCTAATATATGTATGGGGACAGAGAGTGCTGTGTTAAACTAACATAAAAAGCACATTATATAATCAGAGCACTGATTCAATGTTATTAGAATCTTGATCTCAAGTGTCCTAATTGTATGAGCAAGGGAAAGATTGATAAGGGGTTTGCCCAAACCATTTGCTTGCATTTCCATGCAATTGAGTTTGACAGTCCTCTGCCATGGGGCAGGATTACTGCAGTGATGGCTCTCGGGGTTTTGCTTAAAGGCAAGTGAATTATAGCAGACACTTTTTCCTGTGCTCCTGTAACCCTGTGAGCCATTTTTTAGTTCTATCATTGAAAGTGAAAATAGTGTGCCCCAAATAAGAGTTACCCCTACATTGAAAGCTTTTCTTCTGTGCAGTTTTAGTCCAAAGAGAATAGGGCTCAGGAAAGAGATGAAAACACCCACCCCAACCCCTTCTTGACTGGGTGTACTCAGATACGCCAAAAAATGTGAAGCTATCCATCCCAAGTGGCATTGCACACACATTTTCTCACCTTCTGGAAGGCACCAGGTTAAAGATTGTAGACAACAATTTTAATTTTTTATTTTATGTTGTTGGTGTGCACACGTACAAATTTTTCTGGGTAGTATGTACCCCTAGGCCTATAGAAACCAGGTATTTCTTTTCCCAATTATTATAACTTTTTATAGGGAGAGTTTTATGTTCTTGTGTGTGTGTGTGTGTGTGTGTGTGTGTGTGTGTGTGTAGGCCAGAATACAATGTCAGGTGCTATCCATCTTATTTTTTAATATAATATTTTAATGTTTATTTAGTATGTGTGTATATGTACATGTGTATATGCATATGAATGTCATGATATACATGTGGAGGTCAGAGATCAGAGCATAGTTTGAAGGCTTGATTCTCTCCTTCCACCATTTGGTTTTCGGGGATCGGACTCAGGTCTACAGGTTTGATGGCAAGCCATCTTGCTGGCTCCCACCCACCTTGTTTTCTTTCTTTTTACAGTGCTAGTATGTTCCTGTAGCGCTCAGCATGTTGGCCTGGCTTTTTAAGCAGTCTCTGAGACTCATGCAAGTGTTAACCATGAAATCGGGAGGAGGAAAGATGGTCCTGAGAATACATCTATAGCCACAGAGCATGGGACTTTGGCAGTGCGACTCAGCATAAATATCCCAGAATAAAGTCTTTTGTATTGGGAATGAAATGACAGAAACAATGGGAATAACTCCTGCAAAGAGGTCTCAAGGGCAATTGAAGACAAATGTAACCTGTTTCAATATAGCCTGAGTTGGAGTTCGGTCTTCACAGAAGCTTTTCCTGGGTAATTCAAAAGGCTTAGCAAGGGGAGGAGGGGGAAAGTATCACAGTAAAGCTTCATTCTTTTGGTGGAGGCCAGCTAAGGTGCTTGAGGCCCAAGAGAATTCAAAAGCCAAGCTCAGATTGGATCCAGTGAGTGAATAGTCCCTAGTCTCGGCTGCCTTGACCGGTTCCAGGTCTTTTCCTTATGTTTTTGCATCATCTGGGAAATTTATGTCTTGAAAAGGAAGTGATATTTTTAGAACTGTATCAGTATTATTTCCAGAACATTTATTGATTGTTCTGGCTCTGTAGTGTTTACATGGCAACATGGTGAACTATTATCACATAATGGGATAGCAACTTTTTTATTTTTTTTGGTATGCAGATTAATTTTTCAGATAAGAAAGTAGAGGTCATTGGCTTATTGAAATTTCTTTTGAAATCTTAGCTGTGGTTCATCCTCAACTTTCCTCATGGAAGACTATATTCTCTTGCCCTTGAGAGAAGAGTTTTGAGAAGGCAATAAAGATGACCTTATTTTATCTTTAATGTTAGAGATAGAGCCCTGTGCAGGCCAGATGGGTTCTCTCACTTGAGCTACATCTCCAGCCCCGTAAAGATACATTTAAAAATGAAAATAAGCGGACAAGATAAAAACATGAGATCACTTGGGGCAGTGAATTTTTCTTGAATCTTTGGTCTATTTCAGAAACCATGTTTATGACTTTAGGGGTACAAACTAGTTGGTGTCCCTCATTTCCATGAGCTCTATATCCCTGGGTTCAACCAATTTTAAATTACAACTATTTGTAAAGAAGAGGTGCACCTACATTGACATATACAGATTCGTTTTTGGAATGTTACCTAACAATGCCGTATAACAATTACTGTAAATGGTCTAGAGATGCTTTAAAGTATGTAGGATCATGCACAGAGGTTCCATAAAAATACTACGATTATGTAGAAAAATCTGAGGGCTCCTGGAACCTGTCTTCCACCTAAGAGATGATTAGATTCTACTCTCAAGGAACTTAAAATTTAGTGGGAAAGACAGCACACCCTTGAATCTGTTGAATAATGAAAACAACGGTATATAATATGTGTGCTTTAGTAATTTGGGGGAAGAAAAGAGCAGTGGGGTGTTTTAGAATTTCTGTAGTCTGTTGTTCTTTCTCTGGTGGTCGATGACTCCAAAACCTCATGAAAAGTGGTTATGGAAGACAAGGGAAACTGTTTTGTTCCTTACTCTCTTGTTTACAAAATATTGCTTTGTAAAATCAGTGTCTATGGAAGTTTGGACATAGATAGAAAAATTGTTTTTGGAAGTGAAGATGAATGAAGCCCATTGTGATGGAATATTATCCACTATAGGACAGTTCATCTGTCCACCCAAAGACCCTGGTGTCATCAGGTACTCTTCTGGCCAGGGCCCAAAGGTTTACCTTTTTAAAAGTTTATTATGATGATTAACGTGTGTGTGTGTGTGTGTGTGTGTGTGTGTGTGTGTGTGTGTGTGAAGTACCTGCAGAGGCCAGCAGAGGGTGTTGGGTCCCCTGAAGCTGAAGTTACAAGTGATCATAAGCTGCCTGATGTGGGCACTGGGACTCAAGCCTGGGTCCTCTGAAAGAGTATGTCCTCTTAACTGCTGAGCCATCTCTCCAGCCTTCCAAAGGCTCATCTGGATTTCAGTTTTCCAATGAAGTTCAGTTAGGAGGCTGTACCAGGCAGGAGTAAGGAGAGCCAGACATGGATGCCGTATTTCCTCATTACTTCTTTCCTTCACTGTGTTCGTGACTCATACCTGATACTCTCCTGATTCTCCTCCTCCCTTCTTTTAGAAGTATGTTTATTTTACCCTGCCATCTACCATTCCTTTGTTTTTTCCTACAGGGCTCTTTGCATACCACCTACTCTTTCACTTTGAACAAACAAAACCAGAATGGGTTAAGAAGCAAGTTAAGGACATATTGCTCTTTCAGAGGATCTGAGTTCAGTTCCCAGCACCCACATAGTTGCTCACAATCATCTGTAACTCCAGTTCCAGGAAATCTGATGTCATCTTCTGGGTTCTGTGAGCACCAGGTATGCACACAGTGTAAGTTTATACATACATACAAGCACTTGTACACATAAAAATCGAGATAAAGTAAATAAACCTTTAAAAAAAGATGTAGCCTTGACCTTCAAGGAGCATGTGTAGAAGGGAAAGTAATGAAAACTGTTGAGCATTTTGAACTGCCATTCATTAGTTCTATGGCCCAATTAACCACCATAAGCCTGTGAAGTGGATGTTTCTGCTGTTCCTGTTCAGTGAGAAGGAGGGGGGCAGAAGCCTGTCTCAGGCCATGCTGCTATCTATGCACAACCAGGAGGTGAGTATGAGGTCTGCTGTCTCCTGTGTACACTGTGGTGTGCTTCACATGTTCTTTGTTGTCCCCAAACAGCTACAGGATTATGAAGAAAACACCTTAATATCTCTAAACCTCAGATTACTGATCAATGCTATATACATAATAGTCTTGGCTTCGAAAGGGTCTGCATGAAGCATGGAAGAGTCCCTTGCACATGCTAGCTTGGACAGAGTGTCGTTAAAGCCTGTAGACTGTATATGGGTCTAGGTATTGGGTGATGCTTCTTCCTGAACCTGCAAGATTGTAGGATTCCTTTGGAGGGTATGTGGTAGTTTGAATGTAATTGGTCTTCATAATCTAATAGGGAGTGGCATTATTAGGAGGTGTGGCTTTGTTGGAGTGGGTATGGCCTTGTTGGAGGAAGTGTGCCACTGTGGGGGTGGGCTTTGAGGGTTTCTATTGTCAGGATCCCGCCCAGTGTGAGTTGACTTTGTGTTGCCTGTAGGATGTAGGCCTCTCAGATACTTCAACAGCACATCAGCCTGCATGCCACCATGCTCCCTGTCACGATGATAATGGGCTGAACCTCTGAAACTGTAAGTGAGCCACCCCAATTGAATGTTTTCTTTATGAGTTGCCATTGTCATGGTGTCTCTTCACAACAATAGAAACCTTAAGACAGGGTACCCAAGTCTGAAAAGCGAGGCATTTACAGGCACCCCAGTGCATCCCAGCCAACTCAGGTAGCACAATGAGGGGAGAGAAATACTTATTTCTATATGGCATATAAATGAAGGTCTACTGTCACCTGAGTCAGTTTGCACGTCCCTTGGAGCTGAAATGAATGGACATTTTCCTTGGAATGATCAGCTCTATGGGAAATATCCAATAGAATAAAAGGTCTCATGCTGTTTTTTTTGTGAGGAATCATATTTACTTTATCCCATCCTTGATGGAAACCACTTTACCTTCTTTGAAGAGAAGTCATTTAAGTTGTGTTGAGCTTACAAGGGGTGGGACGCAATGACTTTCCAGTCTACATCTCTTAAGGGCCATTCGTGGAGTAATAGTATTGCTAATTTTGCTACAGAATGGCCCTTTCCAAGTATGTGTATGAGATACACTTGACATTAACTTTTGGCTTCCATACATATTATGCATGCACACCTGCACACATACATGTACAAACATGCTCACACGTGCACATACACACAAAACGTGACACAAACGTATATGCAAACTTAGGCCATGGATGACCACACCCCACACTTACTTGAGTATTCAATGGCAGCAGTCATACAGCCCTGGTTAGGGAGGATGCAGCAAGCTGTCAGAGGAGGAGAGAATTCAATTCTACCATTTATGAGCTGCATGGCACCAGCAAGCTCCCTGGCCTCTCTAAACTTTTGTTGCCTCAGCTGTAGAGTTTTGAGGATGGTAAATTACATATCGTTTTGAGATTTAAAGGCGTCTCACTGTAATTCTTGGTTTATGAGAGGTGCTAAATATTATTTTCCTTGACCTTGCTCGGCTGGTTTAACCAAGCTTATTTTAGGTCAGAGACCCAGACAAGGAAATATTTATCTTTTCAAAATGAATTTTGATACGAGTATTAGAAGAGTTGGGGCTTCCCCTGAGATTCTTGTCTTTAAATAGACAAGAATTCGTCCCTGTAGTACTCTCTCAGGCTTTAAAGCAAAGAATGAAGCACTCATAGCTGCGGTGTGGGTTCCAGCTCAGGATGTCCTCTGAGTATGCACTCACTCACATTCACTTGACATGGCCCATGGAGCCCCTTACCCCGTATCATACTGGTTTGTATCTACAGTATCGACTTCCATCCAAACCACTGATGAAGGAAGCCCAAACAGATTATAAATGAAACCCACAGATTATGGATTTCCACAAAGAGTGGGAATCTGAGAAATAGGGTTTATTGTAGGGTGTTCCAATGTGCCACGGGACTCTCAAACAGCACATTCTTTCTGCCACACATGCAAATAGAGGTAGCCTCAGTGATATGAGGATGGCCCGGGAATGTCACATCAGCTACAATGTCTTGTGGGCAGGACAAGTCTGATACTAGACCATGAGCTTGATTCTTTGAGGGGACTCCTGAGATCTGCCTAACAGTGTCGGCTAGCGTTGGCACAGTAGCTGTTTGTCACATTTGCTGAATTGATTTATTATCTACAGTCAGTGGGAGTAAAAAGAGAGCCTTTTAAAGTGCCCAAAGGGTTTTTCTTGTTGAAAGCAAATTGCAGCTTCTGATTAATACCCGAAATAATTCCGTCTCTTGCCCTAGTGTTCTGGGGGAAGGGAAATAAGTTTGAAAGGGGGAATCAGAAAACTCCACTTTGCCTGTGAGCCATTCCTTGTCTGTGTGAAAGAAATCAAGGGAGAGAAAGTCCAGGGATGTCTAAGAAGCTCATATATATACAAAGACAAAAAAGAAAGGAAGGAAGGAAGGAAGGTAGGAAGAAAGGAAGGAAGGAAGAGAATAAAACAAACCCCAAAAGCCACAAGTGGCCCATCAGCTGAGTGAAGGTCTGTGTGGTCTCCAACTTGTAAGCAGTGAGAAAAAGAAATGTTCTGTCCCTATCACTAGCACACATGACTGGTTTTTATTGAGAAGTTATTGCTGTTTAAACAAGAAAATGTCTGTACAATTTGTCCTAATAAACGATACATTACCTATTAACTGTTTAGGAAACGCATGTGCACATAGCTCATTTGGTGACTTTTCCTACCTCCTAAACTCTTTGGTTAAATTAACACACTTAAGCACCGTCAAGCAAGCCCGCTGGATCTGGTCAACATCTTGGTCTCTAGACAAGGTTTACTCAGGAGTGATTTTTGGAGCACATGTGAACCCCTCACATCCTCTTGTGTGACTAAACACATCCAGTGGCACTTCCCATGTACCAGCCATGGGCACCGGACGCTGGAAGACAGGCGGGTGTGCCTTTCTTCAAGCTTACAGTATAAAGTGGCTGGCACTGCAGGGTAGAGAGCAGCATTTCTAGAATGGATCATCTTGTTGCATTTCTTTTCTTACTCCTCAGGAGGTTTCTGGTGAGACAAATGCCCCATGCATTGTCCTTTGGGCCACTTCAGCCTTGATCAAGTACTTAATTATATAAAAGAAGATGGAGAATTTAAGAGAAAGGTAATTGCTTAACTTGCTGTATTTTGAATGACAACTTGGAAGTGGAGGGAAATATCTAGTGAATGAATTGATGATTTTTAAGGTCCTGAATAACACAAACCTTCTTTGCTTCAGCTTTGCTTTAGGTTGAGGTCATAGGACACAGCCTGGAAAACAGCACAGGGGTTGCACCTGCCTTTATCAGCCCTTGGCACTTAGGTCTCTGGGGCCATTGAGATGTGCTCTTTGCATATGTAGGAGCATCACCTGTGAGATACTACAGCTGAACATCATCTCTGTACTTTGTCCACTCTTCTGCTACCAGCAGGGGTCATTATGGAAATATGAAAATACAATAAATTTGTAGGAGCTTGCTGTGAGACAGGGGTAGAGTTTTGGATATTCAAAACAATAAAAAAGGAAAAATCCCTTGTTACAAACCAATCGTGGTGCCATGATTAAGTATAATTTGGCCATGTCCACAGTCTTTCCCTTGCTGGGACAGGATTCAAGGCACATGCTTAATTTGTTTATAGTACACTAGGCAAATATTTACTAAGGTCTACTCTAGGCTCAGAGGGTCTGAAAGTAAAATATAATTGTTTAAAAGTTTTTATTTTATCATCCTGGGTTTAAAAAGCTATTTTATGCAAGAACATAATGTGCTTTGTAGTGTGATGTTTTACTCATTTGGCTTTTTGGGGGCCTACCATCCAGCACCCAAATAAATCACACACACAGGCTTATTCTTAGTTATGAATGCCCAGCCTTAGCTTGGCTTGTTTCTTGCCAACTTTTCTTAACTTAAATTATCCTGTCCAGCTTTGGCTTAGGAGCTTTTATCTTTTACTTACTTTTGTATATCTTTCTCTTGGCTGGCTGGGTGGGTGGCTCCTAGTGTCCTCATCTCCTCGTTCTCTCATTCCCCTCTTTCTCCTCGGTTCTCCTTTTATTTATATGCTGTCTGCCAGCCCCGCTCCTGCCTTGCTATTGGCGGTTCAGCTCTTTATTAGCCCATCAGTTGTTTTAGACAGGCACAGTGACACAGTTCCACAGAGTTAAACAAATGTAGCATAAACAAAAGTCACACACCTTAAAATAATATTCCCCATCAGTACTTTGTGTATTTCCTCTTCTCATTAAGAACAGTTCTTATACTTAAGGACGTGATGTGATGTGACACATGGGGAGAACAAGATACATTCATGAAATAATTAGCTCATAGACTAATTTCATTTTCATTATAATATGCTGAACTAAAAAATACTGTAAAAGCTGAAAAGTTCCAGCTGAGGAGGACTGAGGAGTTCGTCCATTGTGGGTTTCCTTTTTTCCCTCCCATAAGATAAGGACTCATTATGTAGCCCTGGCTGGTGTAAAACTCGATGTGTAGACAAGGTTGGCTTGGAACTCAGAGAGATCCACCTGCCTCTGTCTCCCAAGTTCTGTGATTAATGGGATGTGCCACCATGCCTATGTGCTAGCTTTTATGCCTTTCAATAGAGACACTTCAAACTTCTTAGGAACTCAAGCATTCATTTTTTATTGCTAATTGCTATCACCTATTTTCCTTCACACAGCTAATTCTTACTGAATTCTAGAAAATGCTATTATTTTTCAATCCAAATGCCAAAACAAAACAATCTGAAACAAAAAACTACAACTCCACCCTCCTCCCAAAGCCCCCCCAACCCAAAATACACCCAAAAAGCAAACCAAACAAAACATTGAGTTAATTTTGTGTTGGCCATCTACTGCTGGGCATGGAACAGGCCCTTAAGTATAGTTAGTATACTCACTGAAACTCCATTGGAGAAAACTAAGTTTTCCTTTGCAAGTGGTTGTCCACTGCAGATAGCTTCTTTGTTAGGCATTGAGAGCCCATGTCCACTTTTTCCTCTCAGTGCTGAAACCCAGCCTAGCTTGAACCTGTGCATGCTGCCATAGATTCTATGAGTTCACATGTGTCTCAGACCTGTTGCATCTTGAAGACACTGTTTCCTTCGAGTCATCCATCCTTTCTGGCTCTTCTTACCTTTCTGCCTCGTTTTCTGCATAGCTCCCCCTATCCCTGACTGGAGGGCTTTGATGAAGACATCCTACTTAGGACCAAGTGCTTCAAAACCTCTCAGCTTTTGCACATCGTCCAGGTGGGTCTCTGTGTTAGTTCCCATCAACTGTAAGGGGAAGTTTCTCTGATGATTGTAGAGAAAGGCACTGATCTATGGGTGAACCAAAATTTCCTTAGGAGTCATTTTATTGCTATGTTCCTTTAGTAGAACAATAGTATTGATTTTGTTCTAACTCCATAGCCTATCTATTCTCAGGTTCTTGGCTACCTGAGCAGTGGCAGGTATGGGTTCCATTTCATGGAGTGAGCCTTAAATCTGATCAGATGGTAGTTGGCTATTCCCACAACATCTGTGCCATTATTGTATAACATGTCTTGCAGGCTGGTGACTGTTATAGATTGAAGGGTTTGTAGATAGGTTAGTATTTACATTTCTTCTCTGATAGCATGCACAGTACCTTCCAATACCATAAACAGTAGTCAATAGGGGTGAAGCCTCTAGTTAAGACAATATTTTGACTTTTCCATGTTTGATGACATATATAAGTACTTCAGCAATGGGGCCTTACCTTTGTGTAGTAGAGAACAACCAATAACTTTGGCAATAGCCTGGGTTGTTTTAGGGGTTTCCATGGTCCCCTTTGGACAACTCAATTAGATGTGACCTACTTCTTGCACTGAAGGTTCCACTTGGTGGTAAGAGAAGTCTAGTTAGGACATTGTCTCCCCGTTATTTGGTGACTTCATTTATATTTCTTTTGTACATGTATATATTTTTAGAGGCTTCTGTGGTAATAGGTTTCCACATAGCCTTACAAATGGTCCTTAGTGTTGTCTTTCTCCCTTACCCCATCTTCCACCCCCTCCCCATTTAATCCTCCTGTCCAAGTGTCTCCCCCACATAATTTTTCCATAACTATATATTAACTTCTCCTTTCTTAGGATATCCTCCCCTTCCTCTAGTCCCTAACCTCTATGGTTATACATATTATAGCATGAATATGAAAGGCTTCAAAGCTAATATCCACATATAAGAGAAACATACAGTATTTGTCTTTTTGAGTCTGGGTTACCTCACTCATCAATTTACCTGCAAGTTTCATAATTTCATTTTTCTTAACAGTTGAATTGTATTCCACTGGGTAAATGTACCACTTTTTCATTATCCATTCCTTGGTTGATAGGCATCTAGGGTATTTACAATTTCTGGCTAATAGAGAAACAATGAACATGGATGAACACGTGTCTCCATAGCAGGGTGTAGAGTCCTTTGGATATGCCCAAGAGTGGTATAGCTGGATCTTGAGGTAGATCAACTCCAAGCTTCCTGAGGAACTACCACTTTGATTTCCATTGTGACTGTACAAATTTGCATTCCCACTAGTAATGGGTGAATTAGTTCTCCTTTCCCCAAATCCTCACCAGCATGGGCTGTCGTTTGTTTCATTGTTATTTTCACTGGTGTAAGATGAAATCTCAAAGTAGTTTCGATTTTCATTTCCTTGATGACTAAGGATGTTGAACATTCCTCCTCCTCTTCTTCTTTTCCTCCTCCTCCTTATCCTCCTCTTCTTTGGTTTTTTGAGACAGGGTTTCTTTGTGTAGCCCCAGCTATCCTGGAACTTGCTCTGTAGACCAGGCTGGCCTTGAACTCAGAGATTTTCCTGCCTCTGCTTTCTGAGTGCTGGGATTAAAGGCTTGCACCACCACATCTCAATTTGTTGACCATTTCTTTAAGTGTTTCTTAACCATTTGTGTTTCATCTTTTGAGAGCTCTCTGTTTAATTCTACATAACATTTTTAAATTGGGTTATTTGTTTTCTTGATGTTCAAGGTTTTTTTTTGTGTGTGTTGTTCTTTATATGTTTTAGATATTAGCCCTCTATCAGATGTGTAGTTGTCAAAGATATTTTCCCATTCTGCCACTTTGAATGATGGTGTCCTTTGCCAAATAGAAACTTTTCAGTTTCATGAGGTCTCATTTAGTAATTCCCAGTCTTAGGGCCTGTGTTTATGTGCTTTGTTTAGAAAGTCTTTTCCTGTGCTTTATGTTCAAGACCATTCCCCACTTTCTCTTCTATGAGATTCAGGGCATCTACCTGGCCTTATGTTGAGACTCTTGATCCATTAGGAGTTGAATTTTGTGCAGGGTGATAAACATAGATGTATTTGGATTCTTCAACATGTAGCCATCCAGTTTGACCAGAATCATTTGTTGAAGATGCTGTATTTTTTTCCCAATGTATGTTTGAATTTTTCTCAAAAATCAGGTGTGCATAGTTGTGTGGACTTATGTCTGTGTCTTCATTTGGATTCCATTGTTTAACATGCCTGTTTGTTTATGTCAATACCAAGCTGTTTTTTTTTTTTTTCTTTCTAAAGTTCTGTAGTACACCCTGAACTCTGGTATGCTGATACTTCATCAGTTCTTTTATTATTCAGGACTGTTTTAGCTATCCTGGGTATTTTGCATTTCCATAAAAAGCTAAAAATTGTCTTTTCAAGTTCCATGAAGAATTGTGTTGGAATTTTGATGGGGATTCTGTTGAATCTGTAGATTTTGGTTAGATGGACATTTTCACTATATTGATCCTACCAACCCATGAGCATAGGAGTTTTTTTTTTTTTTCCATTTTCCAATATATCCAATTTCTTTCTTCAGTATCTTTAAGTTTTTATTATACAAGTCTCTATCTTGTTGCCTAACATCTTCTTTTCTCACTTCTTGAGTCTTCAGTATCCCAGGTGGTCACATATTTGTTTGAATAAGGAAAAAATAAGTTTTGTGGCTTTGAAGTGGCCCTTTCTTCATTTGCTTAGCTACAAGGAGAACAAGGTCTTCTAGAGAAATGGAGAAAATGATAAAATGGACCATCCCTTTGTCTCAGTCTGTCAAGCCCTTGACTCACATTTATTCTGTAGGATCTTACATCCTTGTCCTTGATCCCTAAACTTGGAAATCTTTTGTAATGCTATAATTTTCCCTCATTGGTTCCCTTTTTATTTTTTCTCTAGTGAATAATTTAAGTGTTCTCAAATTTCTGTTTTAAAAATGTCCCTCTAGGATTCCACAGTGAAAATGAAGGATTATTTTACCACTAAACACAACATGAACTCCATCCTTGCTTTGATTTTGGAAGCTGACTGTAATCTGAAGCAATTATCCTGACCTCCAGCTGAGCCTGAGTTCTCCTGTTCTTAGCCTCCAGGACCAGAAGCCTCTCACGGCAGGATGGTGGGTAAATGGCATGACCTTCAAAAGCCCATGCTGACTTCGCACACTGAGGAATGAGCCTCCCTCTTATGACAGTCTCACATGAGAAATGCTCACAATGTTAAGCATACCTCAGATGCTCAGTCTGCTGAAAACAACAGCTTCATCAGGGGAGCAGCTCATGCTACTCCCATCTGGCTGCAGACTCTAGCTGTAGTAACTTTTTAGACTAGTTTTCCACCCTTGCTCTTGTTCATTGTTACTGCCCCATTGTTGCCAGGGGAAGGCTATCACTCATTTGTGGATCACTTAGCTAGATTGTGCTGTGCTGACAGCAATGGGAGGCTGGACTGTCCTGCTGTGATGGAGTGATGATGTCTGTAGGTGGCCAGTAGGCTTTCTAGAAGAGTGGGTGCTTAGTGCTCCAGCTGAGTTTCTAGATGCTTTGTACACCTACACACTTAGCATATCCTCTAAACCCACCACATCTGTGTAGCCTGCATCCCTGAATGAGCTGCTCTCTGGAACTGGAAGCATCCTCTTCTAATTTCTAAGTGTTTCCAGTTATGGGTCCTGTCTACTTAAGGGTCAGTTCTACTCTTCATGTGGCCCAAGCTAAATATTAAGTCATGGAAAAACAATGTGTGCCTATTTTTAGATATTTTCATCTGTTAACTTTCTCTGTGGTGCTATATACTCTGGAGACAGCTTGTCTGCTCTCTACCTCTGGGGTATTTCTGAATACCTAAGAAAAAATGGTTTCCTTGAATTTTAAATTGAATATATTTGCTAATGAAACCAAGCTCCCAAATGATTTTTGAGTGAATGATATGTGGAATCAATTCCAGTATTACAGTCACTTCTTCCCCCCTCCACTTGAGAACTGGGTCCAATTCCATAAAATATGTATTTAGTTATAAAAATGAAAATTTCAATTAAATTTAATCATGTTTGCACTTCCATTGGTGAGTATTTGCTGAAGCTTGCAAGAGAACTTAGTTCTCATGTGGTCCTCTGAGTATGAATGTTACCCAGACACAAAGTATGATCCTAATATTTTTTCATACAAAATATTGTTGTTACCACTAGTCTGTATTCATTCTTATAGACAAACTCTTGCTGTGTTGTATAGGCTGAACTCTGGGCTACAGGGCTCAAGTGGTCCTCATGCTATGGTCTTCAAGTAGCTGGGAGTATAGGCATAGTAAACCAATTATATAATTACTTAATTTTTACGGTGCTGGGACTTGAACTGGGCTTTGTTCCATACTAGACAGGTACTCTACCGCCGAGATCCACCCTCTACCCACCATGCAGCCTTCGAGCCAAAGCTAGAGTCTGGTCTCTGTCAAACCCATAGCCAGTTGTTCTACCATCCCCCACTGGAGGCAAATTTGGATGTGTTGGACCTAATCGAGAGATGTAATTTCTAAAGGACTTTCAAGGGTAACATTGATGACATTTAATCTTAGTTCTAAGTGTTAACTTTATAATTTAACTGTCATCCAAGATTGTGACACAGTCATGTCTAGGTTCCTCTTTATGGAGACTTTTGGGGAAAGGTTCTCAGTTATTATGACTTGGATGTCTAGTTCCTCTTTATGACAGCTTTTGTGACAGGGGATTCACAGACTGGCTATATTCTGTGGTGTTTTTTCTTTTTTAGATTTATTTATTTATTGTTTTATGGTTTTTGCTGCTATATTCTGTATTTTTTTTTGCTGCATGTATGTCTGTGCACATGTATAATTTGTACCCATAGAAGTCAGAGGAGGACATTGGCTACCCTGGAATAGAGTTAAGGATGGCCATGAACAACCATGTAGATGCTGGAAACTGAACCCAGGTCTTCCTGAAGAATAGTCAGTGCTCCCAACCACTGAGCCATCTCTTCAGCCCCCATCCTTCCAAGCACTGAGACAGCTCTCTAGCACATGTTTTTTTTTTTTTTTAATTCTAAAACATTTGCTCTTCTTCTTAGGTGCTAAAACTCAGTTTAAGCTGACCTTTGTTGCCATTTTTATATTTTCTATGTGGTCAGGAGGGCTCTGTTTCAACTTTCTATTGGTCTGGCACATTATAGAGGGAATTTCCAACTGTGCTTAAGGACAAGAGGTTAGACACCTCCCACTGTGCTTTTCTTGAGTTAATTGATAGAGGCTATATGCCACAAGATACTAATTAAGAGCCATAAAAATAAGAGGTGACCAGAATACACATCAAGAAACAGCAGGGTTGGAGAGATTGCTTAGCAGTTAGAATACTTGCTGCTTTTACACAACATCTGTGTTTGGTTCCATGAACCCATGTTGGATGCCTGGCAATACCTGTAACTCTAGTTCCAGGGGATATGACACCTTCTTCTGGCTTCTGCCTGTCTTGGAACTCACATAGGAAGCATACACAGACAATGACAAAGACAGACACAGACAAGACACAGACACAGACACAGACACAGACACAGACACAGACAGACATAAGCACAAAAACAGACAGACACAAGCACATCCAGGAACAGCACAAGAAAAAGGCCAACACAGACACAGACACAGACACGGACACAGACACAGACACAGACACAGACAGACATAAGCACAAAAACAGACAGACACAAGCACATCCAGGAACAGCACAAGAAAAAGGCCAACACAGACACAGACACAGACACGGACACAGACACAGACACAGACACAGACAGACAAAAGCACAAAAACAGACAGACACAGACAAGACACAGGCACAGACACAGACGCAAACATAGACAGACAGACACAGACAGACACAGGCACAGACACAGACAGACACAGGCACAGACATAGACAGACAGACACAGACAGACATAGGTACACAGGTACTTAGATAAAAATGAAAGAAACACCCAAACCCAAGACTTCTACTACCCTGAATGCTGTAGACTGAAGGTTGCTACAGTCATGGAGAAAACTTGTTTTGGCTGCTATTGGAGAGGATGCTGCAGTCTGGAGCCAGGCTATGCAGAGCTAATCAAATACAACCTGTGGAAAACCATGCCATTCTAGGAAGCAACAGTTTTGATCTGAGCTTCTGTGAACATGAGTATTTGCTCTGAGTTTTCTTTTTACAGGAGTTTACACTGAGATTTTACAGTGAGTCCACTCAGGAAGCTTCTGATGCCCATTTTCCACTCTTGACAATTTTTCTGCCATCTCTCTTGCTCTGTATCCACCTTATGGCTCTCTCATCCCCTCCTTGTCTTGCACACACTTTCCCTGATGTATGCAGTCCCTGAAACATGCTCTGTCCTGTGGATTCATTTTGAGGATTCATTGCCCTTGCTTTTCAGTTTGAACATTTTGCCCTCATTTGCTCCAGTACACTGGCTTTAGACATCCTGCTTGTTCTCACTTGATGTGAAATGACCTGTTAAGTCAAGTCACCCAAGATACTGTATATTACTTTTTTGTGGCCATGATGAAGTACATGATCCAAAAAAATTTAAGGAACAAAGGGTTTGTTTTAGCTTGCAGTTCCAAAGCAAGAGTCCACAAAGGCATGGTAGTAAAATCAGAAATTAGAAAGATCACATTTCATCTACACACAGGAAGCAGAGAGAATGAGCAGGAAGTGGGGCAAAGTTGTAAAACCTCAAAGCCTGCTGCAGTGACCTTCTCCAGGAAGGCTTTACCCCTTAAAGGTTCCATAGCCTTCCCAAATGTTGCCTACAATTGGGGATGAAGTGGTCCGGTCCACCACTGTCTTAGTTACTTTTCTTTTGCTGTGACATTAACACCATGACCAAGGCAACTGATGAAAGAGTTCATTGGCAGCTTGATTATAGTTCCAGCAGTATCGTCAATGCCCATCATGGCGGGGAGCATGCCAGCAGTCAGGCAAACATGGTGCCAGAGCAGAAGCTGGGAGCTCACACCCTTATCTTCAATGTAGGATACAGAGAGAAGAGAGATAGCTGGGAATGGTGTTGACTTTCAAAACCTCAAAGCCCCTCTCCAGTGACATATCTCCTCCAACAAGGTCACACCCTCTAATCCTTCCTAAACATTTCCACCATGTGGGGATCAAGTTATTTCAGTATCAGAACCTTTGGGGGCCATTCTCATTCATAAGCCTACAGTGGGCATTACTCATTCAAACCACCAGTCTGCAAACAAAAACCACCTGCATACAAAATCCATCTGTATTTCCTCTTGATTAAGTCAGTAAGGCATCTGGGAAGGATGGTCTCCAGCAGCCATTGCAGTCTCTACCAATCAGTAGGCTCAGGGTAGACATTTTTCACTCTTTGCTTCTACTTCCAGAGGCCATAGGAAAGTATTGGCTTGGGTGTACATGCACCTGCCTGAAAGTTATTGTAGTGATGGTATGCTGAGTTCCTTTGCAATCTGGAGCAACTTCTACCCAAGACCACACTGAGTTCCTGCTGGGAGGTGAGAGGAGAAAGAAGGGCTGTGGTTCTGTGGGATGGGTAAATGGGTAAGAAGGAAAGGCTAAGATGTCTTTATCCTTTGGACAACTTTGGTGTAGAAGTGTGTGTGTGTGTGTGTGTGTGTGTGTGTGTGTGTGTGTGTTATAGGGGGATGGTGATATTTCTTATAAGGAGCCATCTCACCTCACTGGGGAGCCTGAGAAGTCTGTAGTGTGATTGGCAAGATGAAACCCTAGGATTGCTAGTGGTGTAATTCAGTGTGCAGGTTGGCAAGCTTAATCCTCAGGAAGTGCTTGTTTTTTCAGCTTGAGTCTAAAGGCTGGAAAAGATAGATGTCCCAGCCCAAAGGCAGTGGGGCAGAAAGAATTCTCTTACTCAGCCCTTTAGCTGGCTAGATGAGTCCCAGCACATTAGGGAAGGCAATCTGTTTTACTCAGCCTACCAACTTATGTGCTAATTTCATCCAGAAATGGTCTTATAGATACACCAGAGTAAAGTTTGGCTGTATCCCTGGGTGCCCTATAGTCTGGTAATGCAAAAAGTAGTTGAACCCTATCTCTCTCTGTGTCTCTGTCTCTGTCTGTCTGTCTCTCTCTCA